GTTACCAGAGAAGCCTCTCTCAAGCCATCCTTATTATCAACACAAAAAAAAAACTTCAGCTCTTTTAGCTCAAGTTCAATTATTGAATTGTCATCGCTTCCCTCAAGAAAGAAAAATAAATGAAATCTAAAAAAATTTATATGGGAGATTTACATACATAACACTGAATTATGAATTTAAACTTCGCATGGTTGTTCTTATTTGATAAGAACCTTGCATTTCAATAAAGGTTGCTTGAGAACCCACCAACCAAGCCATCATCAATAGTTATAATACAAGGAAAAATTCTCCCTTTATTTCAAGATCAATGACTGTTTCCTCATAGTCTGTCTTTGTCAAAATAACACCCAATTCCTGTGTGTGCGCGCGAGACACCTAAACTTTAACATGGTTCAATTTATTCAACAGCAACCTTGCATTTCTATATTGCTTGCCTGGCAAGGCATCCTCCCAAGCCATCTTCAATAGTTTCAAGCAAGGAAAAATTCCATTTTTATTTCATGATCAATCGATGATTCATCATCTCATCACTCATTGAAGAACAAGAAATAAAATTTAAAGATAATAATAAGAGGAGGTTTACATACATACCACTGAATTCTTAAATACTAAGTCCTTTAGTGAGGCAGTCAACCATTTGTTCTCTAGTGGCTACATGACTTAGTTCCAGTAGCTTGTTATTCAGCTCGTCCTTGATGACAAATTTATCAATCTCCACATGTTTAGTTCTATCATATTGCACCAGGATGTTGACAATGCTAATTGTAGACTTGTTGTCGCACCACAACTTCATTTAAGTTCCTTGGTCCACTTGAACTCAACCAACAAGGCTCTAAGCCACAACATCCTAGCAGCTCCATAAATCGTGGTCCTGTATTGTGTCTCTGTTGTTGCACTCGCTATTACAGACAGTTTCTTGCTCTTCCAAGAGACCAAGTTGCCCACTAGAGACATGCAGAATCCTAAGATGGATCTCATGTAATCAACCTAACTCGCCAAGTAAGCGTCACAAAAGCCCTCCGTGTCTACATGCTCATTCTTCCTGAAAATCAACTCATTTCCAAGTACACCCTTTAGGTATTTCAGAATCTGATACACTGCATACATATGCCACTTCCTGGGATAATGTACGTAGCGGTTCACCATGCTCACAGCAAAGAGATGTCGGGTCAAGTGGGACACAAATAAATCATATGGCCCACCAATCAAAGATTCATAATTGCTTCCCAGAAAGAACAAGAAATGGAATCTAAAAAAATAAAAAGGGACATTTTACATACATACCACTGAATTCTTATGTATTTAAACTTCACATGGCTCACCTTATTTGAAAAGAACCTTGCATTTCTATACAGGCTGCCTGAGAACCCTCCAATAGTTATAGTAGAAGGAAAAATTCTATCTTTATTTCAAGATCAATCCCTGATTTGTCATCGTCATTGTCAACATACCACTCAATCCATATATATATATATATATAAATATATATCCAACACCTAAACTTTAACATGGTTCACTTTATTTAATAGCATCCTTGCATTTATGTATGGTTTGCTTGGGAAGCCTCCGCCCAAGCCATCCTCAATAGTTTCAGTGCCCGGAAAAAAATCCAACTTTATTTCAAGATAAATCAATGATTCATGCTCGCTTCACTCATTGAAGAAAAAGAAATGAAATCTAAAAATAATAATAAGCGAAGGTTTGCATACATACCACTGAATTCTTCAATACTTGAACTTCACATGATTCAATGTCATTTAATAGCAAGCTTTCATGTCCATAAAGCCATCCTTGATAGTTTCATGGGTCTCAATCCCTAATAAGAGAGCAAGCATCATTTGTAGTGACCCTATGTTGCTCGCATTTATTGTGTCAGGTTGATTGCTCAAATTGTTTGTGTTATTTGCATCCGAAGCAAATACTTTGTCGTTTTTGTTAATATAAGTCGGCTCGCAAACATTAGAAGCCGCACCTTTGAATCTATCTGAATGCTTCTGCAAGCCGAATCGGGGAAAGAGAAATACTCGAAGCTTAGCTGATCCACAACTAGAGGCCTTCGAGAGATCGTCTATCTCATCCATCATATTTTCAAAGTCCTCAACAGAGTTAACTGAAATCAGGGTGTCTAGACTTTGTTTAGGATATTGGAAGCAGATGCGGACAGGGCCGCCATAGACATCCTCCATCTTTGAATAAAACTCTTGAAAGACGGTATCACGACGGAAGACAATGATTCTCGTTTGTCCGCCAACATAATGTAGATTTTCGTGTTGACGACTGTCTATAACTTTGCCGCCAAAGCTGCAGAGGAGTTTCACCTTGCGTGATGTTTCATATTTCCTAGCATTTTGTGCGAGTGAAATTGTGGATGTGGGTGGCATTCGGATAGACTTCAGGAATTTGTTCAATGGTGGTTCGGGATAGAAATTCCAATTGACATCCATAGGTGTGCATGAGGTTATGGCGGTGGATGAATTGGGGAAAATGTTGGAAAAGTGGAATTGAGAGATTGGGAATTTTGAGGTTTATGCATATGTTGGCGAAAGGATATGTTGGCGAAAGGAATGCAGCAGCCAGCCAGCCAGTCCATTGCGGCGGAGCAAGCAGAGGCGGTGAAAGTAAACATTCCGGAAGGCATTCGGAAGCAGAGGTGGCTTCGGAGAGGAGAAGGATGCAATGTGGTTTCGGACTCAAAACTGATTACAGGGGACGTGCAAAGCTATCCCTTTAATTGATCTGGCGAACTCTAAAGTGTGGAAATGATCGGAGGTTGAAGACGAGCAAAGATGTGATTTTCTTGAAGTGGAGAGGAAAATTCAACTCTGCGGTGTTCTCCTCCCGCCGCTCGTTGGAACAAATTCCTCTAATCACTCAACGACGCCGATTCTCTCGTGCTTTAGCTTCGGAAATATTGTTTTGAAACTTTAAAATAGTAAACAAGTTCATAATTTCTTAGAAGAATAATAAAAACTGTTGCTGCTTACACGAGAACCATAAAATAAAAGGAAATTAATTTAAAGTTTAGATATATATATATACACACATACATATACATATATATAGTAATTTCTTAAAGAATGAATTTTTGGCTCATAAATAAAATTCATCTTTTCGTTAAGTTTGATAAGCTGAAGCACATCCTAATTCCATGTATTTACATATCTAACACCCAACTTCATTTTTTAAATTTATATTAAAATCTTTCACGTCTCATAAAAAAATTGACACTATTTTAACTTTTTAAAATAGTGATTAAAATAAATGCCCCTTTATTTTTTAGTTGAGCTAGGTTAAATAAAAAAACATTGTAGATTTAGTTATTAGTTATTTTGAATACATTTATTGATTATTTTTAAACAAACTTTTCTATAATTAATATGAGTTTCACATAAAGCTTTCATTTTTCTTAAATTATATTTATGTGAAGCTTAATGTTAAAATATAAAAATTATATTTTTAGCTGATTTTTATTTATTTTTTATTATCATTTAGTTAATAATATAAATAAATCATATTTTCTTAATTTGTTTTGGTTCTCTCTCTCTCTCTCTCTCTCTATATATATATAGATATAGTAATTTCTTACAGAAATAATTTTTGGCTCATAAATAAAATTCATCTTTTCGTTAAGTTTCATAAGCTGAAGCACATCCTAATTCCATGTATTTACATATCTAACACCCAACTTCATTTTATAAATTTATACTAAAATCTTTCACGTCTCATAAAAAAATTGACACTATTTTAACTTTTTAAAATAGTGATTGAAATAGTGAAATATAAGATAACATATATTTGAAAATTAAAGTATAGTTGTTAGGGATGCAAATATATTGGAATTAAACGGCATGCATTTAAATCTTTCTTTCAAATAACGTTTCACAGATAGATGAGGTATCTAAATAAAATTAATTTCCTCAATGGTATGCTTTGAGATTTGACTAAATTAACACTAAAAAATATCTTCCTAATTGTTATGAAATCTTTGGGTTGTATAAATGTAAAGAGTAAAGATTGTCAATTAGATATGTAACTACGTAAGAATTGGTTGGTACATATGTAAATGCCCCTTTATTTTTTCAAAATAAAAAATAATAAATTACTTTGCATTCTCCTAATATATATTTTTATTTTGAAATATATATATATATATATATCACATATAATAAATATCTATTTTATTACCCTCCCATTATTATTACATGAGTGGGTACCACATTATGTATATATATTGAGTGACTTTAGAGAATTAGATATTAATAGATAAATATATATTTCAAAAGAAATTATATCATTTTGTGGCTTATTCTTGTTAGTTATAATTGAAAAATTTTACGAAATCCAAGGTAGAGCTTAAGCCTTTTTTTCTTTTTCTTGAACCGAAAGTCACCGCAATTCTATTCAGAGCAAAAACAAGCGGATAAATAAAAGGCATAGTGCACTTAATTGATAATTTTTTTTATTTTATTGGAAAAAATTACATGAGTATTTAGTTTGTTTGATAATTTGTACATTTGTATAAAGACGTTGAGGCGGTACGGTAAAGAAGTTGCACAAATTTTGAGATAATAATTGTATTATTGTTATTTTTTTTAATTTTTATATTGTTTCCCAACACGCGTGTGCGCGCGCGCACGTACACACACACAATTCTCCGTTAAAAACAGTAAAATGTCAACTTTAATTCCTAAAAATATCTATTAAATGTATATCCTTAATTTTAATTTTAATTTAAATAAAAAATCACAATGACTTTTATTTCTTATATAAATATACACAATGATTTAACACATCTTAGGGTCTGTTTGGGGCAGCTTAAAGTACGGGCATCGTTTTCAAAACGGCGGCGTTTTCAAAACGTCGCCGTACTGTTTGGTTCGCGCATTTCTCCAGCTTATCCGAAACTGCGTTTGAGTATTTACCTAAACGCATGCCGCGGGTGGGCCCCTGAGGTCGGCCTGGGGGGCTGCGTTTCAGGATAAACAGCTTATCCTGAAACACACAAGCTATATATATAAGGAACTTACTCTTACATACATGAACTTACCTCGTAAGTGGCACTGAGTTAAACGTGGTTGGTTTAAGGGTACAGCTAATGCACATGAAAGGAAAAAAAAATAATGAAGAATATGTCTCCATGAGTATAATTATAGATTTAAAAAAATTGACATTAAAAAATAGTTGACTCATTAATAAAAAGTCATAATTTTTTATCACATTTCTTCCCCGGTAGAAATCTCTATTCCTATTTTTATATTAGTCTCCTATAATTTAACTTATTTTCATGAGTACATTTATAAATACACGAATTTAAAGTTATAGTTAAGTAGGTTCAAATCGTGTTTGAATGAGGTTCACATCTTATTCAAACAAGACTTTAGCAAAGCTAATTTTGTAACATAGAATTCTCCTTTTGTTTTTTCTCAAATAATATTTTGTTATTTCTCCCAGACAAAATCTTTGTGCAACAACCTTAATGATTCATATGCTAAACTCGTCCTAACGTCATGCACCTCCTCTATATAAATCACTCTACGGGCTCATACAAGCCCCGAGACAATGGTTCGACACTCTATCTCAACTCTTACAAAATTTCAATTTTCACCCCAACTCTACCTACTCATCACTCAACATATATGATGAGGAGAGAAAAATTATTTGGATACTTCTATATTTTGATGATCTTCTTATCACAGAAAACAACCAAACTCTTATATATAGGGTCATTCAATCACTCAAACAGCCCCTAAAGAAACATGAGAGACATCGGTCACTTTCTCTGCATCAACCTCAATCATACCTAAA